TCTCGCCGGCCGCTCATCTCCCTGTTCCGCCCTCGCTCAGAAATCGAACTTCAGATCGCACTGTTGAAGTTATCTAAGGCCGCGGGACCAGATGGTCTTCCTATAGCCTTCTTCAATTTCGGGGGACGTGCTCTTGGGGATGATTTACACGAGTTACTAGTGAAACTGTGAAAGCAGGAAACTGTCCCATCCGACTGGAGTCGCTCCGTCATAGTCCCAATTTTTAATGGAGGCTCACAACCGGAATGCGGCAACCATAGAGAAATCAGTCTGATCTCCATCGCCTCCAAAATGCTTGCCTCTCATCTTTCACAGACTGACTGGCACTCGTGAGAGAGATTCGTGAAGATCAAGCCGGGTTTCGTCGAGGTCGTGGCTGCATTGGCCTCATCTTCAGTTTGCATCCGTTTTTGGAGCACCGTCACATATATTGGCGGCCTACCGTTGTCGTGTTCCTCGATATCCAAGGTGCTTTCGCTTCGGTTGATAGACGTGCCCTTTGGGACTGTCTAGTCAGGAGGTATGTGCCCGACATATACGTAAATACTACCCGTGCATTATACGCACGTAACTCAAGCAGAATAAGAACTTACTGCCAGTTGTCGTCGCCCTTCAATATATGCAGCGGTATGCCCGCTGTCATCATTCCTCTACAACTTCACTATTGACGAAGTTAGGGAAATCGCGTTTACAGGACACGACTTAGAAGGTGTGGATGTGCTCCCAGGAGAACTACTTCTTGCTGACGATTTCTGCTGACGATATCTCCCTCGTCTGTGACAGCTCACAAACGGGCTAAGGTGCACTGGCAGATTAGCACTAGCTGTTCATCACTTCAGGCTTTGTTTCGCAAAGCGTTCCTCCAAGATTGGCCTGGACCGCCTTCTACGCTGACCGCTGATTGGGATCAATTTGAAGTCGTTCAAAAATTCAACTACCTGGGAAGTTGTACCAGCACCCGTGGGATTAAAAATGAGATCACGAACCGTATAGCAAAAGGTCGAGGCGCTTTTGCTGACCTTCACCACCTATGGTGTCGGTGCGACATCACTCTGACCCTGAAGGATAGAGTGTACAATGCAGCGGTACGTTCGACCGTACTGTACGGTTGTGAAACCTGGCCCCTTAAAGCAGCGGACCTGAAGAAGCTAGTTACGTTCGACCACCAGTGCCTTCACAGTTTGGCTCACATCTGGTGGGAATATCGAGTTAGAAACGAGCGTGTTCGACGCCTCGTTTACGGCACAGGAAAAGGAAATGAACCGCTCAGCACCGTTATTTCACACACCAGGCTCCGATGGCTAGGTCACATGTTACGCATGCCAGCGCTCCGACTCCCGCGACGTGCGTTGTTTGCGCGCCGGGGGTGTGGATGGAAGAAGAGAAAGGTGGCCAAGCGATGACTTAGTCGAGAGGAATGAAGGCCCTCGGTTGGCGCGTCTCGGCTCCTGGGTTGGGGTCCGAAAGACGATGAACACCTTTGGCTGGATGCACTTGTTGATATGGCGTTCGTGCTGTGAATTTCTTTGTTCCTCCCCATCCCTCTTAGTCTCCCCCTCCAACCACCATCTCACTATTTAGCGTTATATACTTCTGCATGGTAAATTATTTTTTGCTGCATAGTAGCCGGCTGGTAGCTTACCGGAACGATGTCCATCCGTTACCGGTAGCTCAGCTGGCTTACATCTGTTGCGTGTTCCTTTTTTCTTTTATGTATTGCGGCGCAGTCGCTGAGGTGTTACCCGCCTCTGTCTAAACTTATAATGAATGAATGTTGATTGTTCTTTATCAACTGAAGAAAATCATAAATCAGATGGCGCAGTGTTCACAGGATACGACGTGTCTTCGTCGCGTATACCACTTAACGACACATTCTGTGCTTGGTATACTGCTTTCGCCCACGCTCGCCACGTTCGTTTTTTACGTCATCTGTGCGGGTACTCTTTCACTCAATTTCCTGCTCCTTGTTTGGACGGTTTCGTCAATTTCTTGCGGACAGCCTTAATCGCTGTCACACTTGATATATCTTTCCTACATTGTCGAGCCTATCGTTAGAAACCTACTATGTCTATGTTCTATCTGTTTTCAGCTGACTAGTGATTATACATCTTATTGTTCAGCCTGACTGTAAAGTGACACCCTCTGGACCTTTTGTTTATGATTCGTAAGACGGTTGTAATTTTCTCGCAGCTCTTTGAAATGATGCATTTTCGTACTCACGTTATTCCGCTCATTTCAGACTCTTTCCACACATTTTCCATCTCTAGCCGGCATTAGTTAACACGTTGGACAATATTCATAATAAGCTCCCATGGATTGAGCGCCTGGATATTGTCACCGAACCCACTCCTGCTGCAAAAGAACTCAATATACCCCAGGATCCCACTCAGATTGATCCAGATGATGACTTTAAACGGGAAAATTACTTGTAAGCATTCACCAAATTAAGCTTTCATGCTGTTTGCACTCACTAGTCACTTTGTTTGCTTGCACCTGTGCTTAACCTTTGGTAGCGCTCTCCTTTTTACCTGCTTCGGTGTTCTAAATTCTGTAGTGGAACCCCCGAAGTTGGTCATCCCTGTGTCATCATGGTCATCAATCTAAAAGTTGATCGCTTTTTCATAGCTTAAACATTCACCATGTCAACCTTATGGAACTTGACCTCCGTATACTGACCGGCTCTGTCGCCGTCATCATCTTCATCATCAGCTTTATCAACAGCAGTACATCAGTCACTTGAACTGTTGCTTCGCTGCCATACAACCATGGTGACCTTCGGGGCGCAAAACAATAAGAGGGAGAGAAAGGGGATCTACTGTAAAACCTTAATACCCTAAACAAACACTCGGAATTAAGGCGCTTACACCTTGCCCACAACATACCGTCACAAACAGTTTGCTGTCGTGCAAAAATAAGGCGACATCGGCGAGGCAGCTTCCTTACGGCTTTCACTGCCCTGCGTCATAATCAGCCACTAGCCTGCAGATAACTCAGCACCAAACACATTTTAAATAAGCAATCCGATTATGCGACCACAGTAGACGCCAATGGTATCGACTGCAAGTCCTATAACCTCTCCATCCAAGCACAAGGCAGGTCACATGGACTTCAGTCTGGAATGCGAGACCGACCAGCGGGATCGAGTTTGGTCGCCAGTGACTTCTTTTCCCACTACCAAGTTAATTTTTGCCCACCTCGGGCCTTGCGCCACACCACATCTGGTAAACAAAACAAGATCCTCCTCTGTAAGCGGTGTCCAGGCATACGTAGTACGTGCCCCAGCTAACGCAATGTATTCAGTGCTATCTGTTCTGAGGAACTTGCCTGGTTATCATTGCCTAGTACTCGCATACGCACACCATCGTTACGGACAAGCTGGTGCCACCTGACACCAGCAATGCTTCGCAGACAACGATGATCAAAGACTTGAAGACGCCTCAAATCGTCAGATCGAAGGGGCAGTCCGTGCTTTTAACAATTTGGGATATGTTACTGTGCGTATTGCAACATTATGGCCTAAAGAGTTGATATTGTAGAAGAAGATTGATTCGCTACATTTTCTTTAAAGTAGCAGCCAAAGAAAGACGGAAGCACCTTTTGGTGTTGGCAAAACAACGGTTAGGAATATCCAACAGTATAAGCATGAGTACTTGGAGAGGTATGATAATGTGTGCCGTTATGTAAGAACTCATCTGTTATATTCGAAATAGGGTGCACGTGAAAATACATTTCATACTTTACTACCCACAACGGGAAAGTAAGGTGCGTTCGGTTTTCGTGTAGGATATTTATTTGCTAACCACTTTTTTACCCTGACCACTTTGGTCCAATAATTTTTCAAAATGTTTCGGGATACTGGTAGCTCTGGTTGACGATTTACTTGCTCATTTGGTTTGGTTACAAACGTTTCACCAGCATCATCAATTCAGTAATATGTAAGGTGCAATCTTGCTGCTCGAACCGAAGCTGTCACTATCAAAAGTCACTTGCGCGTCGATCACAAATCGACTATTCAGTCAGCAAGATTGCACTGCGCTGATGATGCCACTTCGCACTGTGGGGGAACGTTTGCAACCAAGCTGCTAAGCTCAGCAAACAAATGAACAACGTAACTTGTCCAGTACCTTGAGTTGTCAACTTACAGAAGTTTTAGTTTGTTGCGGATGGTCGAGTATGCATTGGAGATCTGCTAGCTCACTTCAACGCTGCACACAACGACAGAATGTTCACCATATAAATTGAAGTAACAACTTATCATTCTGATGTCCACATCACCAAGACATCAGACTGGACAGTACAAAGGACAGTACATAGAAAGACAACTTGGAGCGGTCAGTATACCCATTTCGCCAGTTTCGTTCCAATGAGTCAAAAATGCAGCCTTGTCCATTGTCTAACGGAAAGAGCGAGGAAAATATGCACGGAAGATACGCGGTCGGATGAATTGAGTTTCATTCGTAGCGTTCTCGAACAAAATGCTTATCCGGACTAATTCATCCGGAGACACATGGAGCCACGAGCACCAAAAGTCCAACCAATCACCGCAGAAAAGCGCCTAATCTGCTCATCACTGCCTTTCAAGGGTGATGTGATAGCAGAACGAATTACTCGCAGGCTCTGCAATGCAGCTGACCTCCGTGTCAGCTTCATTTCTACGCCAGTCGTGAGTCAACATCTCAAGGACAAGATACTAAGATCGAATATTTCCCTCTATGTGTACCATTTTTCTTGCTCGTGTCGAGCAAGTTATATTGGAAAGACGACAGGAGACTGTCTGAAAGAGTCCGAGAACATTGCCCGGCGTGGCTCTACACTAGTGTCAGAAAGACAGTAGTCAGCGCGGTGCTGTGGCATTTGGTCGACACAAATCACCAAGTGAATGTGCGAGAGACCTTCCGGTTTATCTACAAGATATCTGGACGCCACACGCGAGCCCTCCGATGTCGCCTATTAGCGACAGCGGAGGCAATCGCTATCCGCCTCCATAACCCCGACTTATATGCTCGAAAGAAGTTTGTACAGGCTCTACAGCTACCATGGCCCCAAGCTTCCCCATGTCATGACGCCACGCTTGACCCTTCAACTAATGTTGCCCAAGCCAGTGTCGTCACTTGATCTCATTGACCGGTCAATTCACTTAATTGATTCATCGTATTTAAATACCCTGTGTTTTATTCCTATTTTCTGTAGCGTATTGGCATGATGCGAACCACCGAAAAACAAGCTTGTTTGCCTAACCGTCTTTTGCTTCTGAGGTCCTCTCCGGGATTATTTTCTCAATTTAAAAAGTGGTTGTTAGATCGAATTTCTGACATGCAATCTTAGGTATGGCATATTTGTCCGATCTACGTCGTAATCTCCAACAATGCACTATCTGACACATTGGGCAGAACATTTCCAAAAGCAGTTCACTTGGCTTCTCAGGTTGAACCACGGCCATTCTCTTTACATCCTCCATCTGAAGCTGAGGTCCTGAATGTGTTCACATTCTTCAATCGCTTCGCCAGATCATATTATTCCTTCACGTTTTACTCACAATGGCGAGGTCTTCCGCACAGAATTGCCCCACTTCTTTGGACAGATATGAAGGTAGGAAATTAACCTAAGCAGATGAAACCAGTAAATAAAATAGGCAATATTCTAATCGTAATGTCTCGGCTAACACCTTATTTTCAGCTCGACATCAGTATGTGCTAATCTGAAATCCGGTCCACCGCATCCATGTGAGCTCTCGATCCTCCCTAAGACTGGCATGCCTCAACGCAGTTTAGTCGACAATCAGCAGTTTCCCGAACACTAAAAACCCTATCAATCAATATCTGCTGCTTCTCAGAAACTCACCTGCAAGATTCGAGTTCTCTGATCACTCTGCGACCCCCAACTTCCGACACCGGCGGTAGTTTCTTATAGCGCTTGTCCGGAGATGACGCGGCTTCAAATACCGGTCAAGCCAGTGTGGACTGCTCCGGTTCCCGGGCTGAAGCTGTTTTGGTTGGTTGGATCCCAGTCAACTGCCGGATGTGCGCCATTGGACTGGTGGGCTCGTTCAAAGCTTCGAAGTCGCACACTGTTAGTCATCCCTGCCTACGTACCCACAAACCGCAGTGCTGACTCGGGGAAAGACGAACTCTATCACCAACCGAACTAGCTTATTCGTCACAGAGGAAACACGGATAGTTTATTGCTAGCTGGTGATCTGCACACTCAAGTTGGAAGTTGTCCATTGATGAGCTGCATCTGGGTGGTGAGCGGTTGCTGCACTTGGGCGAAGATGTGCGACCACTTCTCGGGATCACTAACAGACACAGCACCCGCAGAAGAGTGATATGGCGCCAACCAGCCATGGATGCAAATCGATCACATTGCGATCAGTTAATGCTGGAGTGGCTGTGTCCAAAACTGTCGCTCAATTAGGAGTAGGAGCGTAGACTTTGACCTCGCAGTCGTATGAGCAGCACTACAGATGCGTTTTGACAGACATCCGCAACGACGCTGTGAGCCCATAGATATCTGCCAACTGGCGAAGCCAGATGTACTTAATGCGCGATAAAGTACACTGGTATCCGAATTGAGTACTCGCTCACTGAACAGAGTTGAAGGTCACTGGTCGAATACCCGCCAGACGTTATTAAGAGCACGCATATTTTCATGTGGAAAATCAAACCACCGACGTCATCTGGCTGGAAGCGAACACAAAGGGGCTCGTGCTAGCCAGAAGAGGGGCCGTGGAGTTTGGTGGTCTCATCGTGCTATGGAGATGGAGACTGCCGCTGCCCTTGTTAGTTATTCAGTCTGATACGCGAAACGACGGCAGGAGACTTCGTGTTAGCGAAAACGTATGCGACGAGAGTGGACAGTCCATTTACAACTTGTCAGTGGGCTAGTAGCGTTGGGCCGAATACTTTGAGAACCAGTTTAATCAGTCAGAGTTGCCGGTTTCTCCATCATCCAACGATCACCCTACTCCCTGGGGCATCCCCTGGACCCGCCCTCACGCGCAGAAGTTGAACGTGAGATCAAACTATTGAAATTAAACAAGGCCGTCAGGACAGATGGACTTCATACAACCCTCTTCCAATTCGGGGGACCTGCTCCTATGGATGATTTGCACAACTTACTGGTGAATCTGTGGGAGCAGGAGACTGTCCAGACAAACTGTGGCCACTCCGTTATAGTGTAAATATTCAAGGGAGGTTCCCGCTCCAAATGCGGCCATCATAGAGGAATCAGTCTGATCTCCATTGCTTCTAAGTTATTTGCCTCTGTCATCCTCCACTGATTGATTGGCACCCGTGAAAGCCAGATTCGCAGACAGCTAGCCGGATTTCGTCGAAATCGAGGCTGCATCGACCACATCTTCACATTACGTCAGTCGTTGGAGCATCACCATGTTTATTGGTTAGCCACTGTAGTTGTGTTCCTAGACATCAAAGGGGCGTTTGGTTCTCTTGATCTCTCCGCCCTTTGGAACTGTCTAATGATGAAATGTGTGCCCAAACTATGTGAATATCATAAGAACCCTGTACGCACCTAGTTCGGGCAGAGTGAGGGTTTGTGGCAAACATTATCAGCCCTACAATATCCCTAGCGGTGTGAAACAAGATTACCTGATGTCACCTTTTTCACTTAACTTCATCATTGACAAAGTCATGGAAACGGCGTTCGCGGGTATGGAGTTCACTTTAACGATTATGATCCGAGCACAGAATTTCGGTGTCTCCGGTTGCCACGACTCACATCGCATGAGTAACAATAAATAACAACGGCAAAATAGTGGGATTAAAGGCAAATAGAATGTAAATAAATTGGAAGCAAGAGGGAAGTGCGTTAAACTAATCAGAATGGAACGAACATTAACGATCAGGTGCAAGAAACCGAACGCAGGTACGCCACTGACTTCGTGATTGCGCCATGTCTGATACGGTTTCCGACCACTGGTGTGGGCCATCCCGAGGATCCCATCCACGAAGACGGTACGCACCAGCCTGACCAAGTCTCTTAGCCAATTTCTTCATGCCACTACGCCACGTTATGGATTGACCACCTCGCGGTTTCGCCCAACTTGGTGCAGCCACGGCGTATAATGCACGCCGAAGAAGGTGGTCAGCTGATATATGGAATATTTGTCCTAACCAACGTAGGTGATTAAGATTTAACAAACACTTAAGTGAATCATCAAAAGGCTTCTTGCCATAAACCAACTAGTGAACCTCAGTATTACTCACCCGGTGTTTCCACAAGACGTGAGCGAAACTCAGCAAGCACCTCTAGTCAAACATGGCCAAGCGTCTAATGTCCTCGCCGCGAACTGGCCAGGTCTCTGATCCATACAGTAACACCGGCCTTATCGTAGCGTTACACACCCTATCTTTCACTGACAGTTTGATATCCTGTCGTCTCCATAAATGCTTGAGTCTCTGGAAAGCCACACGTGCCTTGCTAATACGCGGAGTAACTTCCTTAGTGATGTGACCACCAGAGATGACACAGCTACCAAGGTTAGTGAACCGATCCACCACTTCCAGTGGCTGTTCATTGATAGCTAAAACCGGAGGTGCATCGATCCAGTCCTGCAACAGTACTTTGCACTTGGAAGGTGCAAAGCACATGCCGAAGGTTGCGGCGCTACGTGTCAGTCTATCCAATAGTGTGGAGCTGTTTCCAGGTGACCGACTTCTTGACTAGGGGTATGCCGACGACATTGCGCTTATCTTTGGCAGCTCCCCAACGTGCCAATTTGCACTGGAGACATTAGTCATGGCAGTCATTCGTTTCAAGCTATGCTTCCCACCCTCGAAATGCAAAGTCCTCCAAGACTGGCAGGGACCCACTCTTGCGCTGACCCTTGGCGGTGGTCAGCTTGAAGTCGTCCGGAAATTTAAGTATCTAGTCAGTATACTAGCGCCTTAGGGAGTGAAAATGAGGTAAGGAGCCGTATAGCGAGAACTCGAAGCGCTTTTGCCATTTTGTTCCACCTGTGACTCCAGTGTTACATCACTCTCGCTCTGAAGGACATGGTTTACAATGTAACCATCTGTTCAACCTCCCTTACGGTTGCGCAACGACAGACATAATGTAGCTAGATACATTCGACCCTCGCTAACTTCGCAGCTTAGCTCATGTCTGGTGTGGAACAATGGGCCTGTTCGACGTCGCGTATTTGGTGCAGGAAGAGTGAGTGAACCGCTCAGCACCATTGTATCACGCACCAGGCTCTGGTGGCTGGGCCACGTGTTGCGCCTGCCAGCACACCGACTCCCGCGACGTGCGTTGTTTGCGCACCGGGTATGAGTATGGAAGAAGAGTGGAGGTCAAGAGGATTAAAGTTCATCAATTCGAAATTGGCGTCGGTTGGTGCATCCCGTCTACTGGGCAGTGGTTCAAAGGACGATGAACACATATGGTTGAATACGTTAGCTGACGTTGCGAAGAGCCAACCTCCATGGCGTTTGTCTTTTGATTCTCTTTGTCCCTCACCTTTAGCTTCGCCTTCCAACAACGATTCCAAACCAAATGCATAATGTGATGTTAGCATTTTGAGGTGTGTTTCCCACCCTCGACTGACGTGTATTGATGATGGTGTTTATGATGTGAGGAAAAGCTCATCATTTCGCGGGACTGAGGACAGTACTTATGCGCACTTTCACTTTCAATTTTTCACTCTGCGCTGAGCGCTAGAGCGTACCACGCGCCGACTGTAGGTGTGTTCCTCGATTTGAACTGCAGGTTTCACTCAGTCGACCTACACACCATGAGTGATAATGCTACACGCGAACCTCTCCCGTCGCGTCACGATGTGTGTTATGCTGTTGGACACCTTTTCGATCACAAGTGGTCTTCATTAAGGTTGTCGGCCTGCTTTTTCTGTTCAATTTCATTTTGACTACTTCATTAAGTCTTCTGTTATAGGGTCTCGCGATCCTGGTACTGGAGTCCCGTTCGGAGAAGCGCCAGGTGGTCTGGCTTTTACGGACGACGTCTTGTTGTTTAACAGTATCAATACGATACCACTATTCCTTGATAAATTCCGTGAATTAGTCCCATCATTTAGCATGTGCTCCGAATTCTCAATTAGCCGGGTGTTGGGGGAAGATCACTTTCTACTTTTGATTCTCAGGGACGACCAACTCGAGACATCTGACCAAATCGTTTAGCTTACCAGTTGCGTGCACATTGCCGGGAATGTGCCTTTCGATATTATTTCACGCACCATAATTAGCGAAAATCCTTTTATGGATCGGCGGCATCTACAGCTCCAAAAAAAGCTCTTTTGGGTTCAGGCCACACTGAGGGCATACTCTACAGCAATAGGATTTGACCCCTTCGATCTGACTTTCCTATACATCTTACTATATTTGGTCCTCCTTATATCAGCGGATCGTTGCTGGTGTTGGTTGTCCCTTGGTGGTTTGCAGCGATGAAGTGCACAGGTTTGTACGCTGCGCTAATGCGCAACACATACGACTTGACAGGTTGCACTTGTTCAGGCCAATGTTTTGTATGCATGATCGCTCTCCAGACCGCGATCCACTTTTGTTTGGCTCAAAGACTTGCATGCTGTCCCGTCATTTTCATTTGGTGACAGTTTTTTTCGATTGCCCGCACAAGGCATTTTGTAAGGTTTTTCATAAAGCTGGACAGTTGAGGCCACAGGGTACACGGCGTGAACGATGAGCGAGTGAACCTCTTAACATCCTTATATCACGCACCAGACTCCGATGGCCAGGCCATCGTCAGCACACCGACCCCCCACGCGTGTGTTTTAGACGTCTAGAGTTTGGGTGGAAAACGAAAAGTGGAGCCAGCCAATGACTTGGTCGAGAACGCCCTCAGCTCAAAGTTGACCTCAGTTCGTGTCTCTACTTTGTAACCCAAAGGTCGCCGGTTTGAATCTGCGTAGATGCGAAAGACCTTGTAATTTCCCGCATGCGACTGGTGGTAGTTTCGTGGCATTAAAGCATCGGTGCGACGCGCTGGCGTACTACTGATGCTTTCTTTTTCCAACTGCAGGGTTGGGGTCCGAAAAACGGTGAACACGTTGGGCTGGAGACACTTGTTGACATGTCCAGGAGTAGACCTCATTAGCATTTGTTGTGAAGTCGTTTGTCCATCTTCCTCTCGCTTAACCCCTCCAACCACGAGCTCATTCCAGATGCATAATGAGAACAAACTATGATATTTGCTTTTTCTCCCCTTTCCACAACCATCTAACTGCTTTGTATGACAGTACAGTAATTGAGGTGTTTTGCACCTCCAGCTGACGTGTGATGCAATAGTGCCAACTTTCACCATTTCCTTTAGATAGTTTCGACGAACTCCGTACTTCTTTGGAACCGTTACCACTATGATTAGAAATCCACTACTGCTTGGAGCTTATTCTTTTTGCTTTGTTATTTGTTTCCGTCTCTTTCTTAAGTGTCAACTATTTTCTCCAACTAGCTATCGCCTGGCGCAGGCAGCGGTCCTCAAAGCTATCCCGGAGCTGCATCAACTTGGCGTACCAACGAAGCGGCCTTCTGACTACTTCGCTGAAATGGTTAAGTCAGATGATCACATGGTCAAAGTAAGTGTTCTTCAATGATCCAGGTCTCTTGTGACGTGTTTTCGTCTCCGATCCATTCAGTCTCCTTTGCGAATGTTTTTTTACTTCTTCAGCCTATACAAAAAGATGCGCTTCAATGTGGAAGTTGCTTAATTTGATATTGGGCGCCTGTTTTATTCTTCGTCTCTTTTCCACTCTCACCTTCATCCGCGTTCAGATCAGGAAGCATTTAGTCGAATCACAGCAGCGATTAGCTCTGCAGGAACGTGCTCGTGCCATCCGGGAGAAACGCAAGTTTGGCAAAGAGATACAACAGGCAGTGCTGCAAGCACGCAAAGAGGAGAAACGAAAACTGACGGCGGCTGTCAAGGCTTCCCGAAAAAAATCAGGTACGCTCGTCCCATTCATCCCCCATCTTGTCTTCTGTTTCCAAAACTGAATATCAGTATTAGCTTACGCCTCACATGATCCTACAGACATCTCCGTACTCATTCATCCGATGGGACATTGAAGAAGTATGCCACTTCGCACGACAATCAATCGCATGCGACAACGCTGATCATCTCTCGTCATTGGTAGTTCGATCGGGCTTCGTCCACAGGGATCTGCTTCATAAGTTCGTTACTTTATCGGTGACTTCCTACTCCAGCGTCTGAATTATCGTCCAGTGGTGTTCTCACTTCCATCTGTTTTGAGCGACTGACTTCCCTTTCTCTTGATGTCTCTATATCATAGTAAAAAAGTCTCCGCATCCTCCCCTTACTTGGCTAGTGCTCTGGGTTCCAAATTAGAAAGATCAGAAGGCGTATGTTGTGATGACCCAGTTATTTCGTGCATCCTCGTCAATCACAACCATGCAGTTGACAGTATTTCTTAGAGGTAGGTCCAATGTATTTCAATTAGTGGCTAGCCGGTGACCACGTAATGTACTTTGTACCCCCACGGTAGCTACAATCACATTCAACCGTTTCTTTATGCAGAATGGCCATCTTTCTCGATTGACTACAATGGCTTTCAGCAGCCTGAGAATGTGGGATTTCTGGTTGCACACATAAGGACTCTGGGAGTGAATTATCAGGGTTTGATTCGTGACCAGGGCACATTAACTGACGTGTGATAACTGAGGCATCCTAGCTTCTCACTTCATCCGTCGGAGTTCCCATCCATTTATGTAGTTGCTTTGGGATATGCTCATCGATTATCACACCCGACATATAACACCGAGCATAGTTATCTTCACATCTACGGGTGAGTTTGTGTAAACAATGCGACATTCATCGCCACGTTGGCTGTGTCGTAATCGAACCCATGAGCGACCGCAGTTATGCTGCATTTGAACGTCCTTTTCGGTGAAGCGCTTATAAGTGTTAGCGCAACCCTTCTGGTGCATATACCTTTTAAAATAGCTGAATAACGATGACTTTTTGTACAGCTGGCACTCAGTTTCGCTTGGGCCGTTTTATCGACTGCGATAGATAACCCCCTGACACACTAGTAATAGGGATAGATCTGCCGTTCGGCACTGCACTATTCCGGTTAGCTGTTTGATCCACTTCTCTGCAAACGTAAATGTGGTGACCAGATTTGTATTCGTTAATCTTTTGCGATAAAACAGCGGATCCATTTACTACGGTTGTAATTTTATGTGCTCGTCCCAGCAGCTCACAAGCTACATAGCTCAGCCACAATCCGGAGAAGCACCAGACGCGTTTTGCCCTATTGAGGCTCGTCAGTGGTACGCATTCCCTCGGTCCCCTACTGGGGTTCGAACGCATGACCACTATAGGCAGATGCCAACTAGCCAGCAGCTTAAGCCATTGAGCCATGGGGAAAGTCGGCTGGGCTACATAATTTCCAAGCTAACTGGGATATAGCACGACCTATCGTCCACTGTCACGTAAGTTACTACCTTAGCAGATGACAGTGGCTAGCCTCCGAAGTTCATTACTTCCTCTCACTAGACGCTACGTCCATAGCATTTGAAGCTAGAAGAGCGTACATTTTATATTACTAAAGGAAAAGTTGAATGTTAGACGAAATTTTTACTGTTTTCGTCCCAGTGGCTCAACAATTACATAGCACAGCCTAGTTCGTAAAAGCGCCAAACGCGTTTCGTCCTATTGGGCTCGTCAGTGCTGCGCATTCCCTCGGATTGAACCCATGACAGTTAGATGCAGACGCCAACTAGCGAGCAACTTAAGCCACAGCTATATCCCAGTTAGCTTGCAAATTATATAGCCCAGCTACCGTCTCTTATGGCTTAGTGGCTTAAGCTTCTGGCTAGTTGGCATCTGCATCTAGCGGTCATAGATTCGAACACCTATAAGCGAAGAGAAAATTAAAAATTTGCTTTTTAATTGCTCTTACTCATTAGTACTATAAAACGTAGCCTCATCTAGTTTCGAAAGCTATGGATGTAGCGTCCAGTGAGAAAAGGTCATGACCGGAGGCTAACCACTGTCATCTGCTATGGTTGTAATCTGCGAGACTGTGGTAGATAGGTCGTGCTATATCCCAGTTAGCTCGCAACTTGTGTAGCCCAGCCGACGTCCTCCATGGCTCAGTGGCTTAAGCTGCTGGCTATTTGGCGTCAGCCTCTAACAGTCATGGATTCGATCCCCATTAGAAGACCGAGGGAATGCGCATCACTGACGAGCCCATTAGGGCGAAACGCGGCTGGTGCTTTTCCAGGTTGTGGCTGAGCTATGTAGCTTGTGAGTTGCTGGGACGAACACATAAAATTGCAACTAAAATCCTCCTAATCATAAGTAATACTACGGTTGTGCAAGGTTATTGTGATACAGATGTCTCGGTCGGTTCCATGATATAAGCGTACAAGAAAATTGCGTACAACAAAGAAGCGTGCACGGTAAAATGCGTACAAGGAAAGTTTCACCCTCGGAGAATGGCGCACATGATATACGGCGAACACGGAAATATACCATTTCGATCGCTTTGCACGTAAACGACTGCCCAACGTGCCAAATCCATTATGATTCATTCAGAGTACTCAACAGACAGAACACTGCTCGCCTACTGCAGTTTGCCGAAGCCTCAGCGATTCGGTGGCTCTAACGCATTTAGTGTGACCAGACCGAGTCCTTGATCATGTTATGGCCACAGGCCCAAATGTCGGTCCAGAGGAACAGAATCATGAAGGGACACGCCTTGATTGTGCGTATACATTTGTTCCCTATATAGTGACACCGGTGAACTGTGCTGATTGGGGAAACGAGAATGGCAGCGCGTGTCACAGATCTGCGAATGGTTCGACCGTGGGCGTGGTTCTCGGTTTACTAAAACGTCTTGAACGGACAGTCCACATTTCTCATTGGTCGTCTAAGTGTGCAACGGAAGAAGTAAGTTCGATCACAATTGTACACTTCTTGATGAAACAAACCGAGTACATTTGCAGACTACTTAAGGTTTTCCGTTCAAGCGATTTTCTAGGTGGGCATCCTTCCATGTGCAGTACCAATGTGAGAAAATGCCTATCGGTCATCTAACGCGGTTACCAACTTCATCAAGCCAAGGCTAGACTAGCCACGAACTCGGTCTGGCCACACCAAATGCGTTAGAGCCACCGAATCGCGGAGGCATCGGCAAACTGCAGTAAGCGGGCAGTGTTCTGACTGTTGAGTATTCTGACTGAGTCATGATGGATTTGGCACGTTGAGAAGCCGTTTATATGCAAAGCGATCTAACTGGAGTATTTCTGTGTTCGCCGTATATCATGTACGCCGACAGATAAATTTTCTTTGTACGCATTTTTCCGTGTACGCAAATTTTCTGTTTGCCTTTGAAGGAGTCTGGGCCGGCTCCGTTGATGAAACGTGGCTCCCATCCACATGCCTCCCAGTCTTATTCCTTCGAGTTTACACTGGATATGAGGTGTGTGCGGATGGAACTGTGGATGGTGCAGCGCAAGCCACGCATGGTCCCTCTGTAGGCGCAGGCGTTCTGTGGCTTGCCACAATGACAGGCAAATCCGAAACCGGATGCTGCCAACCAATTGTGTGGGCTTGCTCCGTTGATGAAACGTGGCTCCCATCCACATGCCTCCCGGTCTTATTCCTTTGGGTTTACACCGGATATGGGGTGTGCAGATGGAGCTGTGAGTGGTGCAGTACAAGCCACCCATGGTCCCTCAAGGCGCAGGCGTCCTGTGGCGGTTCCCATGGAGGCCATAGTGACAGGCAAATCCGCATATGGATGCGGCCAATTCGTGTAGCTATATAGCTTGTGATTGTAGGTGTGCCGCTGCATTTTGACTGTTTGATATCGTCAGGAATGTGAGAATAAACGTTTGATGCACGTGGGCTAGATATCAGTAGCCGCATATCCACAAGGCTGTGACTTCAGTTTGTGGCGAGTCACATCCGCCACGTCGCAGTATTGATAAGCAGAAATCTGTGGCTTTTTATAGGGAGAACGCTTGCCAGGCGAAAACCCACCAGTTCCTGGAACACTGTCGCCGAACTATTTGCTGGAACGGGTTAAACCCGAACCACGCAGCTGGCATCACGATGTTGTCTGACGCTGTGCATCCTGCCCTGTTAACATACGCCCACTTCCTGAATGAATGAGCTTCTGAACAGCCACACCGGTTTTTATAACACGTGAAGTAACTTTCTAAGTGTTGTGACCACTAGAAGTGACGCAGTTACCAAGGTAAGTGAACTGAGCAATTGCTTTCAGTGGCTGTTTCATGATACTTAGAAAGTAGGTTGTACTTTTAAAGTGCAACACACGCCGAAACGTCTAGTGCTACGCGTCAGTCTACTTACTTTGTTCAACCCAAGGATAGTTAAGTCATCTGCATACTTAAGGTTTGTTACTGCGGAAGAAACTGAGACAACGGAGACATTTGTGATCCCGTATTGAAGAGGAAAAGAGATATTAGACGACCTTTGTGAATCTCACTTGTCGTGAGTATTCATGACACCCTCGGGAGTCGCGGTAAAGAGACTTCATAGTGGAAAAGTGTTCTTTGGCACGCGCCTCAATGATAGGCAGGCTGGCACAATCAGCAGTATCAAAGGCGGCTTTCAATGAAAACTATAATTTATCGTCCGTTAGCGTGTTTCTGTTCCAGTACTTGACCGAGAGTAAATATGTGGTCATTGCAATCACGACCAGATTAATAAGTCTTAACGTAATGATACTCGACGTCAATGCCTAAGTTCTTAGACCATGTTTGCAGATATGGATGACAGTTGACAGTCTAGAGGTACATCTTCGTTGTCTCGAAGAGCATTACATAAAGCGGGGTAGATCAACCACCCATCTCGCTTACAACCGCTGATGCTTACCAATAGTTTCTTGCTGTTCACACTTTGCATTTATCTAGCGTTTTATTTAATATGCTATCGCTTGACAATTTCTAGCACTTGAAATCCTGTATTTATTTATTTATTCTTCTTTATTTACCCTCAATGTGTACAGGAAAAGATCGAGCAGATGCGTTGGCTGAAATTTTGGCTGAGCACCAGATAGAATATGATAATAAAGCTCAGAAGACGGGCTACCACAGAGCAAAAGACGTCGCGAACCGTCGAAAGTAAGAACTTTATTATGGACTGGCATGGTTTCGGTTTGCAGTTAGTTTATTAGATTAGTGAATTATCCCGGGAACAGCACATGGGGACACAACTGCGTTGTTCATACTTGTCAGGATTCAATGTGTACACGTACAACGTACTCTCACTGATAATTCGATTTGCATTTCCATTGTTCCTCTGGCTCGACTCTTCACTCAGCTAATCTCGGCTGCACTGTCACGCCTTTCCACCTCGGTAATGATTACTATTCCATCTGTACGTAGCTCAGTGTCATAGCATCTCACCGTGCATATCTGAAACTGGATTTTAGTGCATTCATCATCATCATCAACAGCAGTACACCAGCCATTTGAACTGATGCTTCGCTGCCATACAACCATGAGGACCTATGAAATAAAGAATAAGAGGGAGAGAAGGGGGACTTACCTGAAAACCTTAATGCCCTAAGCAAACATTCAGGGTCAAGGCGCCTATACCTTGTGTAGACAACATACCGTCACAAACAGCTGGCCATCGTGGTCTGACCGATTTTTGTCCCCTTGCTGACTAAACTACCGGTAGCTCCTCTAAATTGTCTTTCACCCCGAGCGAATCTATTTAGTCAAACTGTTATTGGGATTAGCACAGGTGACAGTGTGACATAGTAACCCTCTTAGAAAACATTCACCTTCGGTCTAGTGGTTCAGGCATCTGATAGACGGCACGTGACTGCTGGTGGTCGCGTGGCAGCGAAGTGTCGGCCCAGGCTTCCTATATTCTTACCACGATAATAATAGTGATGGTTCAGTCAACAATGTATAGAACACAACCAAAGCGGCGAAATGCTACCTTCAAATACTCCTCTTGCTTGCCGAACGATGCGAACATTTTGGATTTAACTCAATCGCCTTTTCGTCAGCCACAGATGTATGTCAGTTAGAGACTGGCTTCCCATTCGCAGCTAATGACGGGCTCCCGTCGCGGGCTTTAGCAAGGTGCCCGTCACTCATGCTCACCGTCTGTCCAGCTGCTTTATCCATCTGGGTTTAAACCTTAACGTTCATTGATGATGGACGGGGCCAATAAGCCGAGCACTCCTCTTGCTTTGTCTAGACTAATCCGTGCGAATGGCTCTTTCATCATCATCATCATCATCATTACACGTTAGCTGGAGGTGGAAACCACCTCAGCTATTGTGCCGCAATACAAAAGACAAGAAAAGGAAAACAAACGGTGGCACGCCCGCTGGGTCCCCAGTAACGGATGGACATCGTTCCGGAGAGCTAACAGCTGGCTGCCGTAAAAGAGTCATAATATTCCTAACAAGTGAGATCGTGATTGGAGGGGGGTGCTAAGCAGGAGGGGGTGGACAAAGGAACTCACAACACAAACGCCATTGGGATCGGCTCCAAGCCATATCAGCGAGTGTGTCCAACCAAACGTGTTCACCGTCCTTAGGACTCCAGCCAGGCAGTCGGGATGCACCAACCGACGCCAACTTCGAAGTGAGCGTTTTCATTTTTCTCGACTAAGTCATCGCTTGGCCTCCCCTCCTCCTCTTCCAACCGCACCCACAATGCGTAAACAATGCACGTCGCGGGAGTCGGTGTGCTGGCATGCGCAACACGTGGCCCAGCCATCGAAGTCTGGTGCGTGATTTAATGGTGCTGAGCGATTCAATCGCTCTTCCTGCACCAAATACGCGACGTCGAACACGCTCATTGCTCATGCGGTGCTCCCACCAGACGTGAGCTAAGCTGCGAAGGCAGCGGTGATCGAATATGACGAGCCTCTTTATGTCTGTCGACTTGATGGGCCAGGTTTCACAGCCATATAGGAGAGTTGAACGGACGGCTGCGTTGTAAACTCTGCCCTTCAGGGCGAGAGTAATGTCGCGTCTGCGCCACAGGTGGCGTAGATTGACAAAAGCACCTCGAGCTTTTGCTATACAGTTCGTAACGTCATCTTCAATCCCACCGGTGCTAATATAGCTGCCCAGGTAGTTGAATTCCTGAACGACTTCTAGCAGATCACCACCAAGCGTTAGCGCAGGGTTGGGTCCCTGCCAATCTTGGAGAAGTACTTTGCATTTCGATGGAGCAAAGCATAGCCCAAAACGATTGACAGCCAGTGCTAATCGGTCCAGTGCTGTTTGGCATGTTTGGGAGCTGTCACAGATTACGGCAATGTCGTCCGCATACTCCAAGTCAAGAAGTCGCTCACCAGGAAGTAGCTACACACCTTCTAGGTCGTGTCCAGCGAACGCTGTTTCCATGACTTCATCAGTAGCGAAGTTGAAGAGGAAAGGTGACAGCGGGCATCCTTGTCTCACACCGCTGGTGATACTGAAGGGTGGCGAGAGTTTGCCATAAACCCTCACCCTGCCCGAACTATGCGCGTACAGCGCTTTGATAATGTTTACATATTTACCAGGCACACCTTTCCTCAGCAGACAGTCCCAAAGGGCACATCGATCGACTGAGTCGAAGGCATCTTTTGTGTCAAGAAACACGACAATGGTGGGTTGCAAATAAACATGGCGGTGCTCCAACACTCGACGCAAGGTGAAGATGTGGTCGATGCAGCCCCGACCTCGACGAAATCCGGTTTGCTTTTCACGAATCTGGCTTTCACGAGTGCCAGTCAGTCTGTGTAGAACGACAGAGGTAAGCAATTTAGAGGCAATCGAAATCAGGCTGATCCCTCTATGATTGCCGCATTCCAAACGAGAGCCTCTCTTGAAAATTGGGACAATGACGGAGCGGTTCCAGTCTGTCGGGACTGTCCCCTGCTCCCAAAGTTTTACTAGCAACTCGTGTAGATCATCTACTAGAGCAGGTCCCCCGAATTTGAAGAGGGCTGGGGGAATTCTATCTGCCCCTGCGGCCTTATGCAATTTCAACAGCCTGATCTCACGTTCGACTTCTGCGCGTGAGGGCGGATCCAAGGAGACGGCCCAGGGAGAAGGGCGCTCAATGCCTGAAGAAGAAAGCGATAACTCAGGTTGGTTAAATTGCCTTGCAAAGTGTTCAGCCCAGCGTTCCAAGCGTTTTGACAGCCTGTGGATCAGCTGCCCACTCTCGTCGCGTATGGTCTCGCTAACACCAGGTCTCCTGCTGCCTGTTTCCCGTATCAGACGGAATAACTTACGATGATTACCAACGGCAGCGGCGGTTTCCATCTCAGAGGCACGATGAGACCACCAGGTTTCGCGGTCCTTCTTCAGGCTAGCACGTAGTTTTGCCCTGAGATTTTTGCGAGCCTCATTGTATTCGCTTCCAGCCGAAAGACGTCGGCGAGCATCCATAAGTTCCAGAGACTGTGTAGAGACCCAATGTCCGGTTTGGCAATTTGCTTTGACACATGAAGACATGCCTGCTAACAGCAACGCTTGACGAGTATGCGACCAGTGATCTTCAACCGTGTTTAGTGGGCGCTTACTCAGCCCAGATGTCAGCGCACTTTGGTACACATTCAAAACATCTGGCTTCGCCAGCTGGCTAGTGTCAATCCGTTCACATCGACGTTGCGGACGTCCACCGAAACGCACCAGGAGGTCGGCACAGATAAGTGCGTGGTCAAAGTCCACGCTCGTGCTCCACATCGAGCGACAGTTTTGGACACAGCCTCTCCAGCGGTAACTAATCGCGATTTGATCGATTTGCTTCCATGGCTGGCCCGAGGCTGGTGGCCGCCAAGTCACACTTCTGCGGGTGCTGTGTCGAAAGTTAGTGCTCGCGAGAAAGAGGCGAGCATCTTCACACAGCTGTAGCAATCACTCGCCATTATCATTACGGGAGCCTACACCATGTTGGCCGCCCAAATGAAGCTCATCAGAGGACAATTTTCCGACTTGGGCGTTTAGATCGCTAGCCAGCACCACAGTATCCGTGCTTCTTCTGTAACGAAGGAGCTCGTGAAGTTGCTGATAGAAAACATCTTTTACCGAATCAGTGCTACAGTTTGTAGGGGCGTAGGCCGCAATGACAAACAGGCACCGTTTGTCCCCGCGCGACTTCGTAGCACGGAACGGGCCAGCTAATCTAACGGCGCACATCCTACTGTTTACTGGTATCCAATCAGTCAGGGCAGCTTCAGCCCGGGGACTCAAAACAATGCCGACGCCAGCTTGACTGGCATTTGAAGCTGCATCATCGCCAGACAGGCGCAATGAGAATGTGCCGCCAGTGTCGCATGTGGGGGATCTCAGGGTAAGCACGGAGCTCGGACCTTGCAGGCGGGTTTCTGATAAACAGCAAATATCGATCGATAGGGTCTCTAGTATGCGGGCAAGTGCTGCCTGTTGGCCAATCTGCAGCAAAGTGCGCACGTTGAGGTATGCCAGTTTTAGCGAGACACGAGGACTCCAAAGGGAAACGGATGAACCGACGTTGTCCGCTTGGTTGAACATGGAGTTGTCGACTGGATTGGAGCGAGGCCCTGCGATTGTGTGTGATTTGAAATTAGAAGACAAGCGACTATTGAAGTAAAGTGAGGGAAGGCCAAGAATTGGGGGATTGAAAATGGGGGTATATAAGTAAAGTTGGAGCGGGACGATAAGGATGAAGATGCGCAAGAAGGGGTATAAGAAGACGAGGAAGAAGAATGGTTCTTTGAAGCGTCAGTAATGTCTGCCGAAGAGCAGAAGGTCAATTTCACTGTATCCTCGGGTTCTACGACATCCATCACGTCGACTCACGCGAATAACGATTCCACAAAGTCACAACTGACAACGGTTGATTTGCTTACACACGCACTAGCTTGGGCTGTGGGCGGAACACTTCACGGAAAAATCTATCCACCTGCGAATTTTGTGCGTCATTAAAATCCGGTGTGAACGTAGGTCGCTCTGGCGGCATCTTTCAACCGTATCTCATTTTTGACGAAGAATGGTGATGATTCATTGGTCCAGCTAGTTCGATTAACTAACCGCTCTTCACAACGACCATTGGTACATGTTCCACAATTCACTAAAAATTCCCAGTTAAGTTTTCAATAGTTGTGTTTCCATAGACACGGGGTGTGTGCTTGTCACTTTCATTACGAGTACTTGTTTACTGCACCGTTTTCTACTTTGTGATCGAATAGGTGTTCACATCGGTGGTGTCGTTTTGTACACTTCTAACACGCACGGACTTCCACCATTTTTGTTACGTGATTTAACAGCGAAGTAATAATCTTATCACCTCCATTCATAGAATAAATCACAAACGTGACTACAAAAACAAAAAATACGGTCATGGAGGTCAGAAGAAACGAAGCAAACGGAACACATTAGAATCCACTCACAGTGGCAAAACTTTGCTCAGGCAATTCGATCCTCTCAAACATCAAGCCACTCCGAGGAAGGCGGAGAAAATCCTCAAGGAAAGACGCAAAGGGAAACAGAAGAAGAGGATGCGACCATTCGGAAGAAAATAAACATGCAACAGTTGCTTTGAGTTCATTTTGTATTCTTTGTACATAGCTTCATGCTATAAAATCGTGCAAAAACATCACTCTCAGTTATTTGGAAGCTTTAGCTGTTCACTGTTGGTTGACTAACATTTTAAAGTTACATTAGCTAGTTATCGCAAGGAGACTGGGCCGTGACTTGTTGCCACGGTTTGTGTCACTACTGGGTGGTCCTCTCGCGCGTCTTTAGCACTACCATCAAATTGGTCAGTGGTTAGCGTTCTGACAAACTTCTAGGTTTGAAGTTGTAAATGGGGCGGCACTCATTGCCATGTAACCGCTGTCTTGTGGTCAGGTTTTCCGTCCTGGCAATATCTTCGTTCACGTACAACCATGAATTCATCAATCCCTAGCCAGGTCCTGCACCAACAGTTGCACACATTCACTTAGACCTCAAGCGTGGTCTTGACACTGCACGCGCCTTCAAGGTGCAATGCTGTCGAAATGGAGTTTGATCGACCGGAAGATAGCAATGCATATAATCGCAGAATGAGCGTTGTAGAAATGACACTACCCAAACGAGTGACGGGTACTTTTGAGATAATTTCCGCTTATTCTGTGTCGGATGAGTTGAGAACTGCTCCGTCTCAGAGTTCCGAAGGCTACTTGAAAGTGAGACAACATCCCTGAGTGAAGAAGCGTAGCACCGTTGCCTCACCTGTTTCCGTTGCTTCTAGGGCTAAGAATAATTTTTAACTGTTCGACGTGATGATCAAGGCAATGGACGTTGCAGACATGGCGCTAATCTTCTAGCTGGTGAAACAACTACAATGGCTCGCTTGACAACTAGTGTTCGCAGCAATCACTCACATGCATGTCACACATTGAGACCTCAAGATCTAAACACCGCTAACATCAAGGGCATGTGAAGGTGGGGAAGTCAGTGTGAATGAACAGAGCCAAGTATTGTTCCAGTGCATCGAAGTAACGTATCTCAGGTGGTTGAATGACCGCTTGGAATGGTTTACATTCTCAGACTACCTGTGTGACTTTTGATGTAATTTACTGATTGCCTCTCGCAACAGCTCTTTGTCAGTCTCCACACGCCCAGAAAAATTCTGGACGTCCTCATGGGTGACTATCTTACTCGAAGCCACAATGAATTATACTCTTGGACTGTTCAACTACAACATTGGGGTCAGTCTAGAGTAGTCATTCTCAACCTTTATTCAGCCGTGGCCCCCTTTTGAACTTTTCCATTTCCTATGGCCCCCACCCTTGATCACCACAACTTGAGCAGTCCACAACGCTAACAGACGCAAATTTATGATTTCCAGTGGTCATATTGGTATCTTTTGTTATGATGGCTAAACTTCTAATATTGGTATCACTGCTGTTTCCCTTATAAACCCCATTTTTTTAGCTTTCACAGATTCAAGATAACATTCATTATGCGGCACCATCAAGCCACTTGTCTGTAATTACACAAAAAGTCATTAATATTTTAACTTGTATTTACTTATTGTTGGCTTTTAACTGTAAGGCATACCATGAATTAGGAGGTGTGATAACTTCGTAACAATATGTTTGTCGAGATATTAATGCGAGCCTCGAGCTTGATGACCTTGAGCAAGCTTACTTATGTCCGGCTCCAGACTTGATAGCGAGAGTCCAATATCTTCTCTTGTTGTGATGTCCAATCTGTTTCTTCTAAATCCACATTCAACCATATATGTGGATGGAAAAGCAAGGAAATATATTTCAGCAATTTCCCACAGTCCAGGGCATCAGCGTGAACTTGAATCTTGCTAGTGTGTCATTCTTAAGCCCTATGAGACTGTTGGATTTTAACTCCAAAATTGCAGGGCTGTACATCAAATGGATCCGAAAGCTGAATCAAGATTTCCATGTCAATCAGGTCATAAAACCAGTCTTTCATTTCTTTTCGGAGTTTTTGTATATGACTGGCATAAACAATCAATTAGGAACTGTGAAAATTCCCGACATCCCATATTCTGAGGAAATACTTCAGCTTTTTACGAAATGCGATAATTGGATGTTTGCTCGAAATGAGATTACTCAACTTACCTTGGAGAGTTTTATTTAATAAGTGGAGTTTTCCGAAATCATCAGTCAGATAAAACGCATCTGGCTTAACGGTACACAGTTTTCTTTCATAATCATTTTCAGAAAGGAATGTCCTGATGGTGTCCCAGAGTGCAACAAAACGGCGAATACAGTTGTCCTAGAAATGCCAACTTCCGTATGTAAAAGTAGAACCCGAAAATCGTCACTATTCTCCTCATACAACTGCTGGAAATGACGATCTTGAAAAGGATTGCTATTGTTAACCACTATTATAATGTTTTGAGTGTATCGTTCAAGCGCCCTCCGCCGTCCTTAGCCACTAGGCGCTCTCAGTGAATTGTATGAGCAGAAGGGAGAACACTTGTTAGACGGGCAATGAATCCTCTGAATCTTCCGACCATTGCGGTAGCACCATCTGTTTCACCTGCAACTACGTTTTGCATTGTGATGGAGTTTTCAGGCAAATAGCCATTGACTACCTCGAATATAGATTGCCCTACGTATAAGTTTTATATATCTTGGTAAGCAGCATCTCTTCCATTATCATTGAAGAATCGGATATATGCCGCGAGAAGCTCGTCGTTATCAGACAAAGTAGATTAATCTACTGGTGACGAAAATTTTCTGGACTGTAGTAAGGTACTTTGTATGTCTTGAGCCATATCATCTATTCTGCTAGATACAGCTGAGTTGCTGAACAGAGAATGGCTTAAGCTGCTTCTTGTGGATTCATCTACTTCAGGTCCGAACGCAAAATAATATTCTCTCCAACATTATGTGAACTACAATTTTCGGCAGTCAATTTGCTGATTTTATAAGACGCCGTAAGTTCATTTGCCATTTTTGCCCCGACAGAAACTGTTGTCTTTAAAGTTGGTGTTTTTGAAGCTCTCTCGCAGCTTTCTAAAAAAAATCCACAGAGGTTCCGCCCTTATCAATACTTTCTAAATGATTTTTCAGTTTACATGGTCGCATACTTTCATTTGAAAGAGTGTTTTGTTAAATTAAACACATAGGTGGAGTTGGATTTTGAAGTGATGCGATGAATCCAAATGACAAGTATTTTACAAAGTTCTGCCGAAACTTATTCATTGCCGAGATCATTTCTGAAATACGTCATTGTTAATATGTGATATATGTATACTGGTTTTGTTTTAATATTCTTACACGTGCATTAAATAACATCATTCGACAAGGCGAAACACGCAAGTAATATTAGTAATTGGTGGCACTAAATTTCTTCTTGCTTGACCGTAAGATTATAAGGAAAGACATTTGGCAAGCATACTCGAAGCTTCTGTTGGTGGCCACAATGTCACAATGTATAAGTGTATAAACACTGGAAATACCGTGGATGGCTAAAATGACAGAAGAGAAATTCATGACAAAAGCCAATGAGGAAAACAAATGGAACTCGGAAAATGGCAATACTTACTAGATACACATATATAGCAGGGAAAGTTGTGGAAAACAGGTAAAATGAAGGACTAATGAGATAAACATGGAAGAAAATGCCGGATATTTAAAGAAGCCAGCATGGGAGTGTCAACAACAAAGCGAATATCGTACAGCCATTGCCAAACATGGCGCCAAATGCATGCTAGCAAGTCATTTGATTATTATCATTACAAGGCGAAGCATCCTTGTGTACACATTGTGTTACATATACTCACCAAAACAACTGGATGTCCTCTCGTAAGATAGTACCCACGCTCGCAGAATCGCCACTCAGATTCGAAAACTTGCGGGCTAACGTGACAGCCGCCAGACATACACACGAGCTGAGATGGTAGCGTTCCACTATTTTAAATGTCAGTTAAATGTGTATTCACACCAATAATTTTATAAAACCCCTTATAATCATTAGAAATACAGACTAGTGGAACACTGTCAGCTGAGACTGGAGACGAAAAGCGCGTAACCTAGCGCTACCGCATTAAGACCCGAACAAGGAAGACTGACATGAATTGTCGCACACTGATAATGTCCTGAGGAAAACCGTTAGTGGCTTTTTGCCATAACTGCCGCAGTGTTCTGACGATAGTTCGCTAGGTTCACTGCAGCTTGCACAATGGATGCATCAGTGTTCTGAGTAAAGCTCAGTTGGTTCACTGTGAATAAGCTTCAAAGTGCTGAGGACGAATCTGGTGTTAGATGCGCAGTCTAAGTCGCCGTGTGGTGATTGTATATTTGAGGTAAGCCCAGCGAAATCTGCGCAAGCTTCGCGGAGATATACCAGATCCGCAGCAGAAAGTCAGTCTGGTCTGGCTTTCACACCTACGTAAACCGTCATTTGCGGGCGCGTAATTCATTTCGCTGACCGTTAGTGATCAGGGGAGAAGGTGCGCGGAGAAAAACAATCAGAAAGTTTTCGTAAAATGAATTTTTTATCTGTGTTAACGCAGCCTACTTATCATTTTCATAGCCCCATCTGGCACCCTTGAAACATTTCTCCTCCCAAAGCCTCTAAAATTCTGCATGCCCCCCGGGAAACGTGTGACTCCCGTTGCGAATGACTTCTAAAGGATAAGGCGTAAAAATGGTACACCCAGTTGCAGGTTAATCTCAATTCCTTGTCTTCACATCACATTTTTCAACTTCTCCAAAACATTTTCAGTTACACTGTGACAGTCAACACTACTGCGGTTTCGTGCATGCGCACTCCGTCAGTTGCCGAACCACCAATCGCAGCATTATAATCTGCTTGAAGTTGAAGAAGAATTTCAGTTCAGTTGGATGCAACTGCCCAAGAAGGTACCAGAGTTCATTCTTCCCGGAAATATCGTTGCTGTGACTAGGACTGTACATGCTAGCAGGAGCGCGAGTATCGTGTACCGGACGTCAGTGATCCTCTTAAGACTAGCGATCGGAATCATGCCATTTATCTTTCGGGTTTTGCGTCAAGAGCAGATGGTCTAAGAATCGTTTGATTGACAAAAATGTAGTAGGCACACAGTATAGCTGCCGTGTGCCGGACCAAGCATACAATCGAGTGTCTTAGCAGACAGATAGTAGC